CGCGGAAGCTGCCCACGGCGGCCGCGGAGACGGCAGCCCCTGCAGGCCCGGACTACAGCAAGGCCTTTGTTTATCTGCGGGCGGCTTTTCCGCAACCCGTCTGGCTCGAGGCCACGGGCGGGTGCCCCGCCGGGGCTTCCCGCACTGGAGGGGCGCCCGCACGCAAGCCAGGCCACCAGGCCCCCGCAGGCGCCCGCGCGTCCACCGGCCGCGCAGGCGCCCGCGGGGGCGGAGGGTAGGGTGGACATGTGTGCGCGCGACGCGGTGGCGGGGCGGGGCAGCTCGGGCCCGCCCGAGCCCGCAGCGACAGGCTGCAGCGCTCGCCAGGCCCAAAGCACCGGGGCCACAGCTGAGCGCTGCAGCGCCCATCATCACCAAGGCGCCGCACTGAACCCCTCCAATCCTCCCCCACCTCTTTTACAGGGAAGCTGGAATTGCTTGGTTTTTGTTCACCCAAGGGGATCTCCAGAGGGCCCGCTGAGGTCCCAAGGCTTCGGGCGGCGATCATCGGTGACCACGGCCGCGTGGCATACGACCGTGAGGTCGACTGCCAAACGGCGGAGAACAAACACGGGCGAGCGAAGCGAGGAGGAGGGAGAAGGAGGGAAGAGAAAGATGAGCGAGCTGCGATTGCGTGACCCCATGATCCCAACGATCATTCATTTAAAAGGGCACCCCACAACTTCTCAAATACAGGAGACGCAGCACAGCTCAGCACCTGGCACAAGGTTGGAACAACCCTTGACTCCAGGCAGCCACTGCGGAAAGAACAGATGAGGACAAGGGGGAATAAGGAACAGAGGGACACCAGGAAGAAGCACAATATGCGGGAGAAGTGCCAAACAATCCCAACACTCCCCAGGCATCTGAAGCGGCTCTGCCGCGCATGAACTGGCCAAGTGGTTGGCCAAAGCGGCCGGAAGGCTGGACAGTAAGGTCTCATGGGCGACTGCCTGGCGAAGGAGCGGCCGGTCAGACCGGGCGGCCCAGCACCAGCCCCCTCTGCGTGCAGCCGGCGCGAACGCCAATTCCGGGGTTGAGCGAGGAAGAGACAGGCAGAGGAGGCGGAGAGCCAGCCTACCCCAGCAGGGTTAGCCGGCGCTCCGCCTCCGGGAGGCGAGAGCGGGAGGAGGAGACGAGGGGGGAGGGCAGCTCGACTCGGCTGCTCGGCACACCGCGCCCCAACGCCCATCGGCCACGAAGCCGGGAGGACACGATAGCTTGCACCACCTAGCGCCGAAGGGTGCGGCGGCAGAGGGAGGAGGAAAGGAGGAGGGGGGGGACGGGCGGAGGACGAGGGGGGGAAGAGGGCCCCCCTCGCCGAGCCTCATGGCTCCGGCGCGCGCGGAGCGCCATCCAGCGGCCTGGACGCCACGGCCGGGGACACAGACGAGGAGGGGAGGGAAAAAACGGGCATGATCTTCAACTACGGGCGAAAACGGAATCAAAACTGTTAAGCCGCACTTCCGGCTACGGGCGAGAACGGCGTTAAAACTGCTAAGCCGCATTGCTTCGCAGTCGAGGAGGAAGAGGAGGAGGAAGGAGGATGGAGGAAGAGAGAGGAGAGGGAGAGGCAGATACGAAAATACCCAGATTCGTATCATCGAGTTCCGTGCAGTGCACGGCGGAAAAAGTAAAACGCACCCGCTCAGGCCAACCTGCGATAAGCGACCCGTCGCGCGAACTGGCACTGCGCGCGGGAGGGAGGGAAGGGCGGGGGGGGGGGGGGGAAACGCGTGCAACCCTGATGGTTGCCCTGGAGGCCGGTAGGGCCATACACTACCACGTACCCGAAACGCCCACGCAGGGGAGCGCAAAACCAAATTTCAAAAAGCGACCGTCATGCACTCCGTGCGGCCTCCATGAGAGCCATGCGGAAGGCTCCATCCACGTTGTCCAGCGGAAGAGATCCCGTGCGGCGCGCGTTGTGGACCCTGTACAAAGCGCAAGTGGCCCAAGCGCGCTGCCGCGCCTCCCCTTCCGACCAGGTGGGCCCGAGGAAAAGGTCCAGAGGCCAGCGAACGTCCAGGGCCCACGTCCTTGAAACCGGCACCGCGCGCACCACCCGTCGCACACCAGGCGCGGGCGTGCAGCCTGGACGCGCGGCGTGCGTGCTAAGTCTGGGCGCTGCCATACGCGACGCCATGGCAGTGCCGCGAGATCAGCTGCGCCACTGCTCCTTCCCCCTGGGCCTCGGGTGCGGCAGCAGGGGTGCCTGGCACGCGTGACGCCTCCTCTCCCCCCTGTCTCGCTCCTCGGGGCAACCCCCCTCCCACCGCTTAGGAGGTTCCCACCTACGTTAGCCTCGATCACCCAAGAAAGACGTTCGAGCACCAGGAAACTGCCGAAACTCGAGGGCTTCGTGTGTCGGGACGTGGGGGAGGCGATTGTCGCTCGACACCTTGCCCAGGGCCTCGAGCACACACCGCCTCGATCCCTCTCCGGGTGCTCCTCCTCCGCCTCCGCCTCCGCCTCCGCCTCCGCCTCCGCCTCCGCCTCCGCCTCCGCCTCCGCCTCCGCCTCCGCCTCCGCCTCCTCCTCCTCCTCCTCCGCCTCCTCCTCCTCCTCCCCCTCCCTCCTCCCCCTCCCTCCTCCTCACTCTCCGGGTGCTCGAGATTCTAGGCCCCGGAGGTGGTCCTCCGGCACGACGGGAGCAGCACACACAGCCCACCGCTGGCTTCTGCCGTGCGCGCCCTCCCCGGCGGCAGAGCGCCGGAGCGGGCAGGTACCGGCTGCGGCCGTCGCCAGCTGCCACAGCGAACAGCACCAGTGGCAGGCGCAGCGGGCCTAATTAGTTTTTTATGTCGGGCGTGTCCCCCATACAGGGGTATGTTCGACGAATAATCAAAGATACCCCCAAAAATACCCCCAGAAGGCCAAAAAAATACCCCAAAAAATAGTCCCCAGATCATGTTTGGACTATTTTTTGACTATTTTGGGTGTATTTACCTAACAGCGAAGACTGATAGGTTTCTAGTAGTCTTAAAAGAGAGCAGCAGATGACTCCACAGGGGGGTCTGGGCGGGTGCCGGACAGGGTGCCGCAGAAGTCGTTTTAAGCAAACAGTCACACACTTCGTGCTCTTCGACCTCCCAGAACTCCATTCCCGGGCCACATTCTGAATGCCCGGAGCCAACTGTAGGCCACTTCGTGCTCTTCGACTTCCCAGAACTCCATCCCCCCCACATTTTGAATGCCCGCCAACTGTATTTTGAATGCCCGGAGCCAACTGTAGGCCACTACGTGCTCTACGAAACCCCATAACTCCATTCCGGGCCACAATTGAATGCCCGGAGCCAACGGTAGCCACTTCGTCTTCGAGTTCCCAGAACTTTCCGGGCCACATTTTGAATGCCCGGAGCCAACTGTAAGCCACTTTCGTGTTCTTCGAGTTCCCAGAACTCCATTCCCGGGCACATTTTGAATGCCCGTCCTGGGCCTTACTTCCAGAACTCCCTTTCCTGGGCCACATTTTGAATGCTGAGGCAAGCTGATGCTGAGGCTGAGGCAGGGGAGGCTGAGGCTGAAGGCAGCACAGATGCTGCCGAGGCAGGAAGGGCCGGCTGAAGACGGCCTGAGCTGAGGCAGGCTGAGGCTGAGGCTGAGGCAGGAGCAGAGGCTGAGAGGGCTGAAGGCAGAGGCTGAGGCCGAGGCTGAAGGCAGACTGAGGCTGAGGCTGAAGCAGGCTGAGGCTGAGGCTGAGGCAGGCTGAGGCTGAGGCAGGCTGAGGCTGAGGCAGGCTGAGGCTGAGGCTGTGACTGCGACTGCCGTTGCCGCTGCGACTGTCATCGCGAATGCGACTACGACTGCGAGAACAGCAGAATTCTACAACTGGATTCTCATCTGAATCTTAAGGGGAATGCTTTCAGATATGCTTCTACACATCGCTGTTAGGTTGCTTTGCCGGGATAATTTTTATTTTCGTCGAAGATCCCCTTTCCCGGCGGCAGGGCGCCGGAGAGCGGGCAGGTCGGCTGCGGCCGTCGCCGGCTGCCGCAGCGAAGAGCACCAGTGGCAGGCGCAGCGAGCCTAGTGTTTTACGTCGGGCGTGTCCCCCATACAGGGGGATGTTCGACGAAAAATCAAAGTTACCACCAAAAATACCCCCAGAAGGCCCCAAATAACACTCAAAAGAATAGTCCCCAGACTATCTTTGGACTATTTTTTGACTATGTTGGGGTTTTCTGCTTTTCGTCGAAAATCGGCGGTGGACAAACCTCCCTTTAGTAAACCTCCCCTTAGTGAAACGGCCTGGGACCGAAACCGACGGACCCGGACCCGCAAAGATGACGGCCGCGGCGCCCTCTCGCGAACCGAAAACGGCCAATTCCTCAATCGACGTGTCAGGGTAGGAGGCCTGTCCGCCCCCGAGAAAATCCCCCTGCAGGGGGACGGGCCCGACTTACGCCTGGTTCGATCGCCCCCCCAGGGGCGGCCGCCCCTGCCCCTATAGGGGGGGGGCGAGGATGGCGGCAGCCTTCGCGGATGCACGTGCGAGCAGCGTCGGCGTCCGCGTGAGCAGGAGGAGGGGGAAAGAGGAGGAGGAGGAGGAGGAAGAGGAGGAGGAGGAGGAAGGCAGGAGGAAGGGCAAAACGGGGAGAAGGAGGAGGAGGAGGAGGAGGAGGAGAAGGAGGAGGAGAGCAGGAGGAGGAGGAGGAGGAGGAGGAGGAGGAGGAGAAGGGAGGAGGAGGACGAGGAGAACGGGGAGAAGGAGGAGGAGGAGGAGGAGGAGGAGAAGGAGGAGGCTCCGTAGCCATTTTGGCTCAAGTCGGGCTCAAACCGCGCCCGCGCGCGCCGACTTGGGCATGGCACCACGGGAGGATGCGGAAGTTGCGCATCCAAGGAGGCCAGCTGCAGAGAGGAAAGCTAGTAGGCAATGGGCGAAGCTGTCGGCGGACAAAGCAGTCCAGCGGCTTCGGCAAGAGCTAACTATAAAGAGAAGTACGGCAATATTTTGCATACTGTGGGTTTGCTGCTGGGACTGGGTCCGCATGCGGCAGGCCGAATCCTATCGGTTGTACCCGTGTTCATTGCCAAGCTCGAGGGCTCCAACATCTCCGGTACCGCCAAACTTCGGAGAAATGTTGCCCTACATTCGGTGGTCAAAGATATTGACGTCTTCACTGCGTCGCCCCACCAACTAAGGGAAGCAGAACGCGGGCCACGTTTAGACAGGCAGCCGCTCAAGTCGGGGACATCCAGCTTCACAGAGCAGGACATCAACTGTGCCAGCAAGGTTCAAGATCATGCCTTACATACCGAGTTGTTCAGACATTTCGACATAGTCTTGTACGGTGTACCACCCGAGAGGTTCGAGTGGTATTTTGAAGCCCCTACCTTTCCACGTTGGGGGGCAGGAGCGGGACTTGAGCAGTGGATGGTGGACTTTGCCAATGGAAATGGGAACGCCGTTTTTGGCACGACCCCCTTCACGGAGGCTGCTCAACCTGACGATGGGCCTGCCGAGGGCCCACCAGAAGTTGAGGAGCAGTGTGCGTACCAAGCTGCTGACCAGCATGTTGAGCAAACCGTTCATAAGCTTGCCAAGGACGTGCAAGGTGACAGTTCTGAACAGCAGCTTCCTGACCCTGCCTTTCAGCATGATTGTGCTGGGGCAACTCAGCCTGAGTGCGTCGAAGGTGGTTCTGATCCTTCTGACCTTTTCGATGCTGCCGATGGTGCAACTTGGGATCAGTATGAAGAAGCCGCTGATAATGTACATCCAGGTATTCTCCCTGGGCATGCTGGGCATGCTGATTGTCCTGCAGGCGTTGCTGAAGCCGTGCCTCACGACCTACATGGTGGTCATGTTGATCGTTCGGAGGTTGACGGTGGCTGCCAAGGTGATCTTCCCACAGAACGGCCCCGCGATGAAGGGCGACAGGCTTTGGGCAGCCTTGCGGCTATCTGGCAGAGTTGCAGCCCGCCAAACACATCTTCAACGCGCATTTCGGGAATATTCAAATCCCTTGCTGGAGATAGTGCTACAAACCCGCCCGTTGAAAAGAACGCTGAGAGTTCCGAGTTGGAAGTAGAGCACGTGATCGACACAGAGACGCACGTCGAGTCCCAGCCTTGGCTTCGTGGGCCGTTGAACTACCACGTGCAGCTTGAGGAACGCGGAAAGAACAAGAAGTTGCTAGAAATCCTTGGCACCTTGGCGTCTCACCGTGTTGTTGTGTTGGTCAAGTCCGAGAGGAAGGCTTCCGCTCTTGCCATGGTGCTCGAGAAGTGCAATTTCCCGTCGATTGCAATACGTTCTCGCGCGAGTCAAGAGGACCAACTAAGCAGGCAGTATCGGGAGCCTGACAAGTGCATCATAGTCTGCACCAATTTGGTCGGCAGTGGCATGGACGCAGAGAAGATGAATGCCATCATTAACCACGACTTGCCTGCTGAACTTGATTATTACTTGCATTGTGTGGGGGGCTGGGAGAGTAGTTCAATCATTGGCCTGGTGATTGTTTTTTCGGCTACTGCCAGCGATGCCGAGGTTCTGGCTACAATCCAGCATCGGCTTCAGGCCAACTTCTGCGAGTTGGCCTCTGATGGTGGGGTCGTGTTGCAGGGCATCGCGAATGTGTCTGCAGGCAAGCAGGCTTCTGCATAACGGGTGATGCGTCTCTGCATATCTGCTATCCTCCCCAGCCTGGCAGCAATGACACGTGATTGAGGGAGGAATGTAACATCAGGCATGGAGTGTTAGACAATTCCAGTTTGTTGCTGAAGCAGGGTTCGCCCCTCCCCCCTGCTCCCTTCCTTATATTATCCTCTCCCCGCAGGGAGCTGAAGGTGGTGGAGTGACGACGATGCCAATGGCGATAGGGGACGAGACGTGGGGGTCAGGAGGAGGAGGGAGGGTTTAACTTAGAGAGCGAGGCTGTCGCGCTTGGTTATCCTAAACAGCGAAGCTATGGATCCTCTATCATACTCCAACCTTATCTTATGCTGTAGGGAAGCTTCGCTTTTTAGGGCTAGCCTCCCTCCAGCCAGGGTGCAAAGTGAGCGGAACCACGCTCAGCACCGGCCATCTACTTTAAAGCAGGTTCCCATCTTGGAGGTGGGGGAGGCGGAGGTTACAGGCGGGGGCGGGAATGTGAACGACCCCTTCCCGCCGTTGCGTTGCCCTGCTGCC